TTACTTGGACCCACAATAATGCCCACAGAAAGAACAGTCAAGAAATCAAATGGCATACTCCATGGGGCTAATCTGATGCAAAAGACTTCTTTAAAGTTTTATAAAAACAAAGATGTCACATTGAGGACTAAGGTGTGTCTGACCCAAACCACGGTATTTTCAATAGCCTCATATACATGCAAAGCTGCACAATGAATAAAGACCGAAGAAGAATTGATGTCTTTGAATGATAGTGTCAGTGAAGAATACTGAATATACCATGGACTGCCAGAGAGTGAACAAATCTGTCTTGGAAGAAGTATAGCCAGAATGTTTCTTAGAAGCGAGGATGACAAGACTTTGTCTCATTTACTTTGGACATGTTATCAGGAGGGACCAGTCCTTGGAAAAGGGTATCACGCTTGGTAGAGTAGCAAAAACGCAAACTCACTGCTGTTGAGTCAATTCAACTCATAGTGACCCCTCCTTGGGATTCTGAGGTGGTATCTCTATGGAAGTAGATTGCCCAATGGTCCTTTCGAGGAGTGGCTGGTTGGTTTGTACCATCAGCCTTCTCTTTAGTAGTCCAATGGGTCAATGAAAAAGAGGAAGACCCTCAAAGAGATAGACTGACCCAGTCTACAACAATGGGCTTAAACATAGCAAGGATTCTGAAGATAGGGCACGGCAGTGTTTTGTTCTATTGTACAAAGCATCATCACTATGAGTTGAAACTAACTCAACAGCATCTAACAACATAACACAGTCATCAAATTCAATGAGATCTTTACTTTGAACATCAATATACCCATGGTTTCTAAAACATTTAGGATCTAGCATTTAAAAAAAAATTAATAAAATTAAATTTGAAATGATTTCTCAAAATATTTTTAACATAAGATATTGTAACATGACATTATTCTCAACAAGACAGAATGATTTTCTATTTTGGTAGAAGCAGAAAATTAAATGCAAACACCATTACATTTTTTAACCGAAAGAATTACTATCTAAATGGGTTTAGAAAGAAGAGCATTATATTGAGAGACTATCAAGAGGGTGTAGTAATATACAGCAGCACAGATTAGAACTGGCCCAGTGTCCCTAGTTTTCCCATACCATTTCTACCTCATCCTATCCATGAGCACCAGAGAAATGGAAAGATTTTGACTTCTGATCAAACTGCATTGTTAAAGACAAATTCATCTTTGTACTTTTACAATGTATATTGAAGTAATATCAGTTTTCTGGAGTTTCTGATTAAGACGCAATAAACAGCATTACTATACTGAGGTATAGTAATAATATAATATTATTACTATAATACTATATTATTATATTAACCAAATAATAATACTAACCAAAAGCATTTTTTCATTTTTTGAAGTGTGAAAGGTTTAAAGGTAAATGAACTATATGCATCAGCTTTTTTAGAATATTACTGTTAATAAATTCCAGTTACTATATGCAAACATTCCTAGGGCTCTAGAGACTCCAATTTGGAAATTATTTATATAGAACAAGCCCTTCTTTTTAGAGGTAAGTATAGTCCTTACCTCTAAAAAGGAGGCAACAGATGCCAATAGTACCATCCACTGCCATCAAGTCAATTTCAACTCATAGCAACCCCCATGGTCTTTCCAAGGCTGTAAATCTTTATATAAGTAGATTGACTCATCTTCCTCCCATGGAACAGCTGGTGGCTTTGAACCACTGTCCTTCTGGTTAACAACAAAATGCTTTACCATTATGCCACCAGAGCTCATTCAACAGTACCACAGTAGAATTAATGGTAGAGTTGTTTGTTGATCTTTTGACAATGCTACATCTGTACCACTCTATTTTATAATCTTTATAAAGCATATATTAAACTCTGCTAGTATTAATCCAAAGGCACTCTGGTGGTGCAGTGCTTAAGGTATTTCACTACTAAACAGAAAGGTGGTGGTTCAAACCCACCAGCCACTCTGCAGAAGGAAGATGGGGCAATCTACTTCCATAAAGATTTACCACCTTGAAAACCCACTGGGGGTAGCTATGAGTCAGAATGGACTCAACAGCAGTGGGTTTGGTTTTTTGGTTAGCATTAATCCAAGGAGCTCTGGTGGTGCAGCGGTTAAAGCATTTGGCTGCTAACCAAAAAGGTCGATGTTTCAAACCCACCAGCCTCTTCATGTGACAGTCTGCTTCCATAAAGATTTACAGCCTTGAAAACCATACGGGACAGTTGTACTCTGTTCTGTAAGATCTCGGTGAGTGGGAACCAACTTGATGATGGTGGGTTTTGATTTTGGTTTTAGTATTTATCCAGCAGGAACAGCAGCTCCTTGATTGATCCTGAATTATCTTCTACTGATCAGAGACATAAATTGTCACTTGTCCTATTCCACTTTGGAAGGCCGTAACATTGCCCAGCTACCACTCGTTTTTCTCTCTCCTGAATATGTTTGCCAGAATAGATGGTTTAAATGTCTAGAAGACTGTTGATCTCTATACAGAATTACACTCCTTGCCAAGTATTATATACTTATATTTAATAAGCTTCTTTTCAGTTAGATTACTTTTTCTTATAGAAAAATTCTCATTGATGTTACACTGACCAGGGAGACAGGAATAAGCAGAATGATTTTTTTGGGAGGGTAAACTCCAGCTGCATGTATATTATACATAGCCACTGAGTTTTTATGGATGTTTGAAAATAAATGGGAGACAATGCTGGTAGGATTGACTGTAAAACGATATAACCACTGTGGAAATCAGTATGGCAATTCCTTAAAAAGTTGGAAATAGAAATACCATTTGACCCAGCAATCCCATTACTAGATATATATCCTAAAGAAGTGAGAACCAGGACACGAATAGATAGACTCACACCCATGTTCATCACAGCACTATTCACAATAGCAAAGAGATGGAAACAACCTAGGTGCCCATCAATGAAGGAATGGATAAACAAACTGTGGTGCATACCCACAAGAGACTACTATACAATACTAAAGAATGATATAAAATCTACAAAACACCACATAATGTGGATGAACTTGAAGGACATTATGCTCAGTGAAATGAGTCAGAAAGACAAATACTGTATCAGTCCACTGTTGTAAAAAAATCAAGGAAAGGTGTATACATGGAAGGGAACTTTCTCTTCTTTGTTGGTTACCAGGGATTGGGGGGGAGGGGTTGGAATTCCTAGATAGATTGGAAAAGAAAAAAAAAACATATATATATACACACACACACACACACACACACACATACATATACACCAAAGATTATTAATGGTCACCAAGACCATTGGGAAGGAGGAAGTTTTTATTTGCAGGGCATTGAGTTTATGTTAATGATGTTGGAATATTTAGGAAAAGGGTAGCAATAATGGTGGCACAACATGAAAAATGTCATCAATGTCCCTGACCTGTAAATGTGGAAGTTGTTATGTTGGCGAATGACTTGTATATGTTTTCACCACAAAAAACGTAAGTAGATAAATAAATAAATGGGAGAACAATTAAGAAGAACTCCTGACACTAATTCTATACCTTAAAATAGTCTGGATTGCTTTAGAATATCTTTGAAAAATATTCATTTTACATGAGGATAAAAGAGAGGCAAGCAATTATAACACTATTTTATATTATTATGCAAAATTAAACATATAAAAAAATACCAGGAAACACAGTAGTAAATAGAATATTAAGTTTAGCAAATAAAACTTACTTTTTTCAGTATACAAAGTATAGGATAACAAATATGCCACATACTTATACTCCTCCTCAAATTATTTTATTTCCTTGTTTACTTCCATTAATATATAAAGTTTACAGAACACATTTATTTAATATGTGTGGCATAGTGCCTAAGGCACTTGACTGCTAACCAGAAGGTTGGAGGTTCAAACCAACCAGCCACTTCTCGGAAGGAAGGTTGGGCAATCTACTTCTATAGAGATGCTGCCTTGGAAACCCAAGGAGGGGTTCACTATGAGTCAGAGACAACTCGATGGCACATAACAACAACAACATATCATCAGTAGTTATTTTATAGATATTATTTTATGGATTTTAGAATTATGAAGAACATTCATGATTAATTGTGATACAGAAATGTATCAAAGTGGGGTGCTCCTCAAACATATTTGAATTATCAATAATAAAGGAAAAAAACATTGGAGGACCAAAGAAAGTGAATGTTGTAATAAATTTCTAGGAGATAACATTTTTTTTCCTAAAAGCATAAATAAATAATGATCAGTCCAGACTTTTCTTCTAAATTGCAGTAGAAACATTTTTAAAATAATTTATGATTTTTAGTTTAATTAAATACTTAATGAGACTGCAGATCATTTGATCAATGTCATTAATATCTGCATTTATTAAAAATTCACATAGAGGGGGACCAGGTTTGCTGGTCCGATAAGAGGCGGGTGGAACCACTGAGACTATGGCCCCTAGCTGCCCTTCGGGTCTGGAATTGAACCCACACCTGTCGTTTCCAGCCAAACAAAAGACAGGCATATGAGTTGAACATTACCTCAAGTAGATACACTCCTTGGAGAGAATAATCATGGGAGAAAGATGGGCTGCTTATGCACAGGGAGACAGCTCAGGGGGCAGGAGTGCATGGAGGGATGGACACTGGGAAGAGGTAACTGTGGGGAGGAGGTGGGAGAGGAACAGTTGCACTGGGGTAAACTGTGGTCAATGTCATGAGACAAAGTATATGGGAACTTCTGTATGGAAAGTGAATTTGCTCTGTAAATCTTCACCCAAATCACAATTAAAAAAAAAAAATTCCCATAGAAAATAAACTGCAATTAACCAATATTCCTACAGATACCTAAGACAACAGTGGTAAAGTTTGTTCTAACGCTTAATAAAATACTGGATTGCTTTGTTCAATGGTGATAAATAAAATTGATTTGAAAGTTGGTTTTTGAAAGAAGCCTCTTAACTCAGCAACAGCGATCCCTGTGTTTGCCCGACCCTTTAAGCAGAAAGATGAGACCATATTACTGCTACCTCTCTCCGTCGAGAAGCCCAGCACGTTTGTTTGATCTTCCACACCACAGCAGCCACCAGCAATAAGGATAAGAAGCAACTGGAAAACAAAACACAAGTTGCTTCACTCAAACCATATTTGAAATATATATTGATATAATAAAAGAATAAGCAGAGAATTCAAAAATACATATCAATGTTATCACTTTGTCTCAGTAAATAATTCAAGCATCAGAGGATAAATTATCAGGGTTTAAAATGCTCCCTGAAATCAAAATATACAAGTGGAAAAATAGTTATTTGTATCCCTTGCTCCATATTAGGGTGACCTACTACAGGGTTAATAAAGGCAGGTTACCTACCAGTTTCCCTATTTTAAATTACAGACATTCCTTAAAACTCAGTTCACTTCTCTTCTCTCATTCTTAAAGAGAGAGAGCTGAGTTATTTTTGTGGCTTTCAATTCTGACCTCAATTGGAATTATTTCCAAATCTGTAACTTTAGACCGGTCACAAGGGAGCAATCGTTAAAGGAATGTAAGAGATTAGTTAGTTCAAATCTATCCCAGCAAAGAAGTTCCTAGCACAAGTCTGACAGTCAACCAAGCCTGAATTAAATACCCATAGCAGCTCTGGTAGCGTAGTGCCTAAGGCACTTGACTGCTAACCAGGAGGCTGACGGTTCAAACCCACCAGCCACTCCTAGGAAGAAAGATGGGGCAATCTACTTCCGTAGTGATACTGCCTCAGAAACCCAAGGAGGGGTCGCTATGAGTCGGGTCCGACTCAACAGCCCACAACAACAACAAGCAGCTGAGATGTTAGGCTCACAAGCCAATTCATTCTCTTTTTAGCTGAACCAATGAAAATGTTCTTTATTAAGATGTCTCTCTGACTCTTATCAGCGAGTGCTGTTTCCATTTCTGGGTTACGCTGAATGAGTCTGCTCCTTCTTCCATATATCGGTGTCTCTGACTCAATTCTCTAGTCCATGGTTATGAACCAGGAGTGTTTTTGCCCCCCAGGGGACAATGGCAGGTCTGGAGGCATTTCTGGAAGTCACAAAGTGGGGGCTAGTGGAATACTGTCAAACATCCTATCATACAGAGGCCACCTTCCACAACAAAGAGTTTTTCAGCCCAAATATCAACAGTGGGAGGTTAAGAAGCCCTGTTCTCATCTGAAACATCCCTATGAAGGTCACCCCTCTATTATTATTCTCAGGTTAAGGAAATACCTGTTAAAGTGTGGCACTGAGATGGATACTTTAGGTACAGTCTCAAGATCACTCATCCGAATTTCAGTCCTACCATCAAAACTTTAGAATTCTCATGTGAGAGATACAATTATCAACTTCAAAGTCACCATGACCAAACTGAACTCATTAATAATATTCATAATAATAAAAGCATCTAACATGTACTGAATAATATGTAGCAGGAGCAAAGCTGTATTTAACATGTATTGTCTAGAATTATTACATTCACACTACATATACTGTTACACACTCATTTAGCAAATAAGAAAGCTAAGTCATGGGGGGGAACAGTAAATTGTCTAAGTTATAAAAATAATAGCTGCAAGTTCTCTCCTTTCTCCAATTTCTTTGTTTCACCATTACTTTTTCAACTAAAATTAGAAAAACACATTCAACTGTATCAATCAGACACCAAATCTTATTATTTCTTTTAGAATATGTACAGTAGAATATTACAGCACTTATACCAAAATTCACTTGTATTTAAATTAATAATTAAATATAATAAACACCAAAATATACTTTCATTGGATGATCTGGAGGTTCACAATATTTTGCCCCCCTAATAGTTACATAGGAGCTCTGGTAGCATAATTCCTAAGGCACTTGACTGCTAACCAGAAGGCTGGTGGTTCAAACCCACCGGCCACTCCTTGAAAGGAAGATTGAGCAATCTACTTCCGTAGTGATACCGCCTCAGAAACCCAAGGAGGGGTCGCTATGAGTCGGGCCCAACTCGATGGCACGTAACAACAACAACAACAATAGTTACATGGTAAAGATTCAGTTTGAGAATGGCAAAGACTAGTAGTTGAATTTCTCCATCAGGAGTTTAAATTCTCCTTGTTCTAAATTTTATGATTCAAGTGAAAAGCATTACTTTGATACTGATGCAGAAGGCTAGTATAAAAATGTGCAGTTTTTATCATTTTACCTTCTTTGAGAAGAGAAGATATACTTCAGCAGTTTGTAGCAAACACTAGGAGACTAGCACTAAAAAAGAAGCCCCTCTGGTGCAGTGGTTACCGCACTTGGTTGCTAACCAAAATGGCAGCATCGGAACCCACCAGAAGCTCTGTAGGGGAAAGATGAGGCCATCTGCTACCTCAAAGATTTACAGTTCCATCCTGCCCCACAGGGTCACTATGAATCTGAATCCATTCAATGGTAATAGGCTTCATATTGGCTTTTGAGTGGCCCTAAAAAAAGAGCCCTGATGAAACAGTGGTTAAGCGCTCAGCCACTAATTGAAAGGTTGGCAGTTCAAGCCCACCAGCTTCTCTGCAGAAAAAAGATGTGGCAGTCTGCTTCCACAAAAATTAAAACCAAAACACACTGCCACTAAGTCAATTCCAACTCTTAACAACTCTACAGAACAGAGTAGAATGACAGGGTCTCTGAAGCTGTAAATCTTAACAGAAGCAGACTGCTGCATCTTTCTCCTGTGAAATGGCTAGTAGGTTCAAACCACCAACCTTATAGTTAGTAGTAAAACGCTTTAACCACTACATTAACAGAGCTCCTCTCCATAAAGATTACAGTCTAGGAAACCTTATGCGGCAATTCTACTATGTAATATAGGGTCACTAGGAATCTGAATTGACTCAATAGCAATGGGTTTTGCTTTGGTTTGGTTTTTTTGATGGCAATAAAAGTAAAGAAAAATGGTAATGGTGTTAAAAATTGGATGGTAAAATCAAAATACAACTTAAGAAAATAGAGAAGCTGAAATTTAAATAAAAACATAAAACTAAACATAAAAACAAAATATATCTGATCCAGCACTAAAAATAATTCAACGAAATATATCTCAGCAGCCGGCATATTAAAAAACAAACTCAGTGGCATGAGAGGATTCTGACTCATAGTGACCCCCACAGGGTTTCCAAGGCTGTAAATCTTTACGGAAACAGACTGCCCCGTCTTTCTTCTGCAGAGCAGTTGGTGGGTCTGAACTGCCGACCTTTTGATTAGTTGCCAAATGCCTTATACTAACAGAGCTCCCTTACCTGGCATATAGTTGTCAATAAATTTTGGCTAAATGAATGGAATTGGTTCTTTAATTGATTTTAATAGCTTATAATTTTTTTTGACATGGAATGCTATATTGGGGCCAGAAATGTTTTTTTTTTTTTAAGATGGTGAAATTAAGTATCATAAAAGATTAAGGAATTTGCCCAAATATAGTCATTTAGGAAGTAAGCATATTGGTTTATCTACATATCAAGGTGAAAACCCAAAACTAATCCCACTACCATCACATAAATTCTGACTCACAGTGACCCTACAGGACCCTACTGAGCTGCCCCATAGAGGTTCCATAGCTGTAGTCTTTACAGAAGCAGACTGCTGGTGGGTTCGAACCACTGACTTTTCTGTTAGCAGCTGAGCACTTAAAAACTCTGCCACCAGGGCTCCTTATAAATCAAAGTTATTCTTTATAGATGTTCTTGGTTTCTAGTAAGTCACATGGCAAAGAAAAGATGTTGTTGTTGTTGTTTGCCGTCGAGTCGGACCCGACTCATAGCGACCCCTCCTTGGGTTTCTGAGGCAGTATCACTACAGAAGTAGATTGCCCCATCTTCCTTCAGAGGAGTGGCACAGTTCTTTAAAAATGTACGTAAAAACAAAAAACAACTCATTATACTATTTGCTTCATTGAAAAGCAAAAGAAAGAAAAGGGGGTGGGGAGCAAAGGGAGAAGAGGGGAAGGAAAGGGAAAAGAAACATGAGCTAAGTTGATCTAACAGAACTAAAAACCTGATGTTATCAGGGAAGGTCAGTTCCTGGAGAAGGGTATCATGCTTAGCAGACGGTCAGCAAAACAGAGGAAGACCTTCAACAAGATGGACTGAAACAGAGGCTGCAACAATGGGCTCAACCATAGCAAAGATTGTGAGGGTCACACAAGACGAGGCAGTGTTTCTTTCTGTTGTACACAGGGTATCTCTGAGTCAGAATCTACACGAAGGCACCTAACAACAAGAAGCTGGAAATTTCCATTCTTCTGTTGGTGGCTACTGGAAACTCCCAGCTGACAGTCCTGGAAGCCTGAAGACACTAGGATCTCCATCAGCCTAAATTCCTTGAATAACTGTGAAGCACTGCCCTGCTGTTCTGGTTACCTCATGCCACTCTGACAGGAATACATACTACAAATGGGATGGCCTTAACAAACAGGAGTTTATTCTCTTACAGTTCAGAGGCTCTAAGTCCAAGTTCAAAGTGCCAGCAGGCTCTAGGGGCTGGGTGAAAGCCCCTCAACCTTAAGGTAAAGCTCTGCCTTCTGCTCCCTGCTCACTGAAGCTAGAGGCGTTTCTTCACTCAGACAGCTGCTGGCTGCTGAAGCTGACAAGCCCAAGGTTGACAAGTAAAAAGGCACAGTCCCAATGTTACCAGACCACATAGCAGGCCGTTAATTTAAGTCCATTGTAAGTCCCAAGGTCGGCAGAGCATGGCAGGCTGCTGAACAACAACCTGGCTACATGCAGGATCCAAGCGTGCCATAGGCTAGAGACTGTCCCCAAGGCTTCTCCTTATATACAGGAAGCAGACCACATTCCCAAAGGCGACTACTCAGCTGTTTGTGGTAGATCCTACCATGGAGTTGATTGCCAGTCTCATCATGGGGAATAACTACCACCAGCTGCCCAGCCACTTGACCTTGGGTAGGTGGCTTCATATTCCCAAGCTGACACACAAATTTAACTACCACACCTGCGTACTGCCCCTCCCTTCCACCAACTCCCTTCTGCCCGCTGCACTTTATATGAGTGACAAATAAACTTTTATTATATTAAACCACTGAGATATCTGGGTTTATCAGTTGCAGTTCCCTTTTC